GTTTATTTGAGATTTTTCTTGTTTCTTGAGGTAGGCTTGTATAGCTATAAACTTCCCTCTTAGAACTGCTTTTTCTGAATCCCATAGGTTTTGGATCGTCGTGTTTTCATTATCTTTTGTCTCTAGGTATTTTTTGATTTCCTCTTTGATTTCTTCAGTGATCTCTTGGTTGTTTAGTAACGTACTGTTTAGCCTCCATGTGTCCATGTTTTTTATGTTTTTTTTCCCTGTAATTGAATTCTAATCTCATAGTGCTGTGGTCAAAAAATATGCTTGATATGATTTCAATTTTCTTAAATTTACTGAGGCTTGATTTGTGACCCAAATGTGATCCATCCTGGAGAATGTTCTGTGCACACTTGAGAAGAAAGTATAACCTGCTGTTTTTGGATGGAATGCCCTATAAATATCAATTAAATCTATCTGGTCTATTGTGTCATTTAAAGCTCATGTTTCCTTATTAATTTTCATTTTGGATGATCTGTCCATTGGTGTAAGTGAGGTGGTAAAGTCCCCCACTATTATTGTGTTAGTGTCAATTTCCTCTTTTTTTTTTTTTTGTGGTACACAGGCCTCTCACTGATGCGGCCTCTCCCGTTGCAGAGCACAGGCTCCGGATGTGCAGTTTCAGAGGCCACGGCTCACAGGCCCAGCCGCTCCGCGGCATGTGGGATCTTCCTGGACCGGGGCACGAACCCACGTCCCCTGCATGGGCAGGCAGATTCTTAACCACTGCACCACCAGGGAAGCCCAATTTCCTCTTTTAGAGCTGTTAGCAGTTGCCTTATGTATCGAGGTGCTCCTATGTTGGGTGCATATATATTTATAATTGTTATATCTTCTTCTTGAATTGATCCATTGATCATTATGTAGTGTCCTTCCTTGTCTCTTGTAACATTCTTTATTTTAAAGTCTATTTTATCTGATATGAGCATTGCTACTCCAGCTTTCTTTTGACTTCCATTTTCATGGAATATCTTTTTCCATCTCCTCACTTTCAGTCTGAATGTGTCCCTAGGTCTGAAGTGAGTCTCTTGTAGACAGCATATGTATGGGTCTTGTTTTTGTTTCCATTCAGCAAGCCTATATCTTTTGGTTGGAGCATTTAATCCATTCACGTTTAAGGTAATTATTGATATGTATGTTCCTATTACCATTTTATTAATTGTTTTGGGCTTGTTTTTGCAGTTCCTTTTCTTCTCTTGTTTCCCACTTAAAGAAGTTCCTTTAGCATTTGTTGTAGAGCTGGTTTGATGGTGCTGAATTCTCTTAGCTTTTGCTTGTCTGTAAAGCTTTTGATTTCTCCATCGAATCTGAATGAGATCCTTGCTGGGTAGAGTAATCTCGGTTGTAGGTTCGTCCCTTTCATCACTTTAAGTATATCATGTTACTCCTTTCTGACTTGTAGAGTTTCTGCTGAGAAATCAGCTGTTAACCTTATGGGAGTCCCCTTGTATGTTATTTGTTGTTTTTCCCTTGCTGCTTTCAGAAATTTTTCTTTGTCTTTAATTTCTGCCAGTTTGATTACTATGTGTCTCGGCGTGTTTCTCCTTGGGTTTATCCTCTATGGGACTGTCTGCACTTCCTGGACTTGGTTGACTATTTCCCTTCCCATGTTAGGGAAGTTTTTGACTATAATCTCTTCAAATATTTTCTCGGGTCCTTTCTCTCTCTCTTCTCCTTCTGGGACCCCTATAATGCAAATGTTGTTGCGTTTAATGTTGTCCCAGAGGTCTCTTAGGCTGTCTTCATTTCTTTTCATTCTTTTTTCTTTATTCTGTTCCGCAGCAGTGAATTCCACCATTCTGTGTTCCAGGTCACTTATCCATTCTTCTGCCTCCATTATTCCACTATTGATTCCTTCTAGTGTAGTTTTCATTTCCGTTATTGTGTTGTTCATCTCTGTTTGTTTGTTCTTTAATTCTTCTAGGTCTTAAACATTGCTTGCATCTTCTTGAACTTTGCCTCCATTCTTTTTACAAGGTCCTGGATCATCTTCACTATCATTATTCTGAATTGTTTTTCTGGAAGGTTGCCTATCTCCATTTCATTTAGTTGTTTTTCTGCGGTTTTATATTGTTCCTTCATCTGGTACATAGACCTCTGCCTTTTTCATCTTGTTTATCTTTCTGTGAATGTGGTTTTTGTTCCACAGTCTGCAGGATTGTAGTTCTTCTTGCTTCTGCTCTCTGCCCTCTGGTGGATGAGGCTATCTAAGAGGCTTGTGCAAGTTTCCTGATGGCCAGGACTGGTGGTGGGTAGAGCTGGCTATTGCTTTGGTGGGCAGAGCTCAGTCAAACTTTAATCCACTTGTCTGCTGATGGGTGGGGCTGGGTTCCCTCCCAGTTGGTTGTTTGGCCTGAGGCGACCGAACACTGGAGCCTACCCAGGCTCTTTGGTGGGGCTAGTGGCGGGCTCTGGGAGGGCTTACACCAAGGAGTACATCCCAGAACTTCTGCTGCCAGTGTCCTTCTCCTCACGGTGACACATAGCCACACTCTGCCTATGCAGGAGACCGTCCAACACTAGCAGGTAGGTCTGGTTCAGTCTCCTATGGGGTCACTGCTCCTTCCCCTGGGTCCCGATGCACACACTACTTTGTGTTTGCCCTCCAAGAGTGGAGTCTCTGTTTCCACAAGTCCTGTTGACGTCCTGCAATCAAATCCCACCTGCCTTCAAAGTCTGATTCTCTAGGAATTCCTCTTCCCGTTGCCAGACCCCCAGATTGGGAAGCCTGACGTGGGGCTCAGAACCTTCACTCCAGTGGGTGGACTTCTATGGTATAAGTGTTCTCCAGTTTGTGAGTCACCCACCCAGCAGTTATGGGATTTGATTTTACTGTGATTGCGCCCCTCCTACCGTCTCACTGTGGCTTCTCCTTTGTCTTTGGATGTGGGGTATCTTTTCGGTGAGTTCCAGTGTCTTCCTGTCGATGATTGTTCAGCCGTTAGTTGTGATTCTGGTGTTCTTGCAAGAGGGAGTGAGAGCACGTCCTTCTACTCATTGTCTCCTCTTTTAAAGCCTAGTTCATGCATTTTTTTCACATTAATACATTCCATCATTTCTATTTTGTAAATGTTTTCACATTTTTTATTTTACTACATATATTTACCCCCACAACAATGTGGTTCATACTGAGGGATATAGAAAATATGAGATCACTCAGTAAAGAGCAGAAATATTACAAGAATTTGAGTATTTTGATTCTAAGATTAGAATTCATTTAATTTTCATCTGTACATGCATTCGTTTTCTGTTGCTGTGTAACAAACTACCACAAACTGTCCCTGTTTGTGGTATCACAGTTTCCTTGAGTCAGGTGTCTAGGCACGGCTTAGCTGGGTCTTCTGCTCAGGGTCTCACAAGGCTGCAACCGAGGTTTCAGCTGGACTGCATTCTCATCTGGAACTCGAGTTCCTCTTCTAAGCTCACTGTTGTTGGCAAAATTCAGTTCCTTACAGCTGTAGGTCTGAGACCCTCAGCTCCTAGCGGCTGTCCTTCTCCAAATGTGAGTGGCTAAGCAGTTTGAAAAACAGTATTTGCTTCTTCAAGGCCATCAGGACAGTGTTTCTCTTTAGGCAGAGCCCAAACCCCATTTTAAGAGTTTCTGGGCTTCCCTGGTGGCGCAGTGGTTGAGAGTCCGCCTGCCGATGCAGGGGATGCGGGCTCGTGCCCCGGTCCGGGAAGATCCCACATGTCACGGAGCAGCTAGGCCCGTGAGCCATGGCCGCTGAGCCTGCGCGTCCGGAGCCTGTGCTCCGCAATGGGAGAGGCCACAACAGTGAGAGGCCCGTACCGCAAAAAAAAAAAAAAAAAAAGAGTTTCTATCTGATTAAGTCGGTCCTTTGAAAAACTCACTTTCCCTCCTGTGTGTTTCTCCTTTGCTCTTACACTACTTCACACTCACAATGCTTCTCAGACACCAGCTGGGTGTCCTCCAACTTAACTCAATTCTGACACTGTCTCCCTGAAGACAGTCTCAGGTCCCACACGTAACGGGTTCAGTCCCTCAAGAATAACCCTGCCCCCACTTCAGATGCCAGTTGAAAGTCCAGGATGTCACCTGTGCTTCTGACCAACAGACTATAAATCAATTTCCCACAACCTCCTCCTTGAGTTTGATTAATTCACTAGAGTGGCTTACAGAACTCAGAGAAATATTTTACTTACCAGATTATCAGTTTATTATAAAAGATATAAATCAGGAACAGCCAGATAGAAGAGATTGATAGGTCAAGATATGGGGAATGGGCATGGAGCTTCCATCCTCTCTCCAGACCACCACTGTCCCAGCACCTCCATGTGTTCACCAACCTGGAAGCTGTCTGAACCCTGCTCTTTTGGGCATTTATGGAGGCTTCATTACATGGACTCGCTTGATTAAATCATTGGCCATTGGTGATTGAACTCAATCTCCAGCCCATCTTCCCTCCCCGGAGGTTCAGAGGTCTGGGACGCGGCTGAAAGTTCCCACCCTCTAATCACATGATTGGTTCCCTTGGCAACCAGTCCCAATCCTTAGGTGCTTTCCAAAAGTCACCTCATTAACACAACAAAAGCCACTTTATAACTCTCATCACTTAGGAAATTCCAAGTGTTTTAGGAGCTCTGTGCCAGGAATGGGGACAAAAACCAAATACATATGTCTTATTATAAATCACAACATCATAGTCAGGTGCGCCCAGGATAATCTATCTCCCTTTTGATTAACTCAAAATCAACTGATTAGGGATCTTAATTACATCTGAAATATCCCTCCTCCTTTGCCATATGATATAAAACAATCACAGGACTCATATTCCAATACCCCTGCCATGTTCTGTTGGCTAGAAGCAAGTCTCAGGTTTCACCCCAATGCAAGGGGAGATTACAAAAGGGTGTGACTCATTGGGGGGTCACCCTAGAGTATGTCCAACACAGGAGGTAAATAAATAAAATGTTGAACCACTAGAAAAACAAACCTGAAACGTTCACTATCCATGATATTGTCCATGTTGCAGATTAGCAACTTGAAGGAGAACACGGTATATCAGTTCCAAGTGGCAGCCATGAACATTGCTGGCTTGGGAGCACCCTCGGCAGTAAGTGCAAGCTTCAAATGTGAAGAGTGGACCATTGCTGTTCCAGGTAAACCGGGAAGACCATGTCTCAGCACTGAGGCTCAGAGTTTCTTCCAATGGAACCTACAACCTGGAACTAAATTTAAGTGGTACATATACAGCTTCTAAGGGAGACAAATTCTCTCAGCCCCTTGTGTTTACATTAAATATCTCTACAGTACTATGAAACAATAGGTACCAATATAAAACTGAGTATAAATTTCTTATATTCCAAATAAATCCTAGAGTCCCCATAGCTCAGCCTCTGCATGGAGTAGGATGGACGGAAGCACACAGTTTGAATGCCACTTGATTATTTAAAAGGAATTCTAATCTTTGCTTGTCTTCTTCAAGGCCATTAAAGGGCCTTGAAGTTCACATGCCCCAGCAAAATTTCTTAAAAATGTCTTCTGGCACTCCCAAGTTGTGCATTCTCTCACTGCTCTGGAGCATTTCATTTACCAGCCTCCCTCCCCCATCTCCTCAGCCCCAGCCTCTGTGGCCTCCTTCCTGTGGTCTCCTCCTCCCTTGCTCCCAGCTCGTCACTGTATATACAGGGGACCTAACATGCCTGCCTAGGGCTTCAGTTCTGGCCTCCTGCCTCTTATATCTCTCCATTTAGCTCTCGAGTCCTTTCTCTCTCTGTCAGCTTTTTCCCAACTCTGCATCACAATAAAGATCCTGGAACCGGACTGGAAATGCTCTCCTTTGGAGGTTGTCATAGAGGGTGGTTGATGGGGCAGGGATGAAAGTGGGGAGAAGCCAGAAACAGTTACCTATGCTTTTAATTCTTACACAGCTACAACAGTGAACAAATGTAAAGACTGAATACTAACAAATTTACTAAGTCATTAAGAGTCAGACTAGCAACGTAGTCAGTGGATGGGATTTTTTTGTTTGTTTGCTTTTTGTTTTTTAATTTTTGACCTCACCACACGGCATGGGGGGCCTTAATTCCCCAACCAGGGATTGAACCTGCGCCCCCTGCATTGGAAGGCAGAGTCTTAACCACTGGACTGCCAGGGAAGTCCCTAGTGGATGGTTTTATTGTGCTTCCAATGGCACTAACTTCAAACACCCAAATACTTTAGTGCCATAGAATGACTAAATTCTCCCACTTGGGTTGGATATTCAGCTTGTATAACAACTGCTACAGCACTGGCTCCAACCACGTTAGAAGACCAGGCCACACTGGGCACACTGGGTGGATCCAGCCATGCCCCCAGTGCCACCCACTTCCTCTATTTGAAACCTTAGTGCATTTGGAGGACCATCTTTTTTGCCTTCACTTAGTGAGCGTCCATCTGCATCACATCTCTATCAGGTGTGAATAAAAAGATTACAAGAGAAACTCAAGAGAATTTCAAGAGTTCACTCACCTTCAGTTAATACAAGAGGCAAACACACTGGCTTTCCTTTTGCCTTCTTGAAGCCGGCGATATTTCTTAAGTTCTTTCTGCCACCTACACAAAAGTGGGTCTGTTTTTAAATTCTTGCAGTTCCTGAATAAAGTTAAAATGTGAATGACGACAGACCAAGAAATTCTGAGCAGACCTGTGGAAAATAGACAGAGATATAGTTGGCAAAAGAGGTTGCAGGGTGAGTGCTCCCAACTCAGGGGAGACATGAACGGGGCAGTCCTCCACCCCCACGGCCTCTCTTTTCCCAGATTCACCCTTGACTCACTGAGAAGTGTTGGGCAAGCCATGAGTCAAAAAAGCTTTATGATAGGTGAGAGCATTTAGGACATTTTGTCGGATGAAGAAACAGACTCAGGTTAAATGATACCCAGGAGGTCACACAGGCAATAAGTGGCAGTTAGGGTTGGAAACTAGGTCTGCTCATTCCAAGACACGAGGGAGTAGGAAGCAGCAGCACAATGCTCCTTCTCTAGAAGAAAGGGCTGGTGCTACTTGTTTGGATGCCTCTCTGGCTCCTAAGGATGACACAGGACAATGGTCATAAAAGCCCTTTGCAAAACAGAGCACTCCACACCAGAGTAAGGTACTGGTGTTATTTAAACCTATTTCCACAGAAGGCATCATCAGGAGACAAGGATGACTCATTGCCAGTAACCATTAAGCTGAGGAAAAGGGCCCAAAAAACACAGTGATCAATTGCAAAATGCCAAAGCATAGCATGATGGAGTCTGCTCTTGTAGTTGGCTCTCAGGCCACTGTGAGTCAGTTCAGGTGCTTTTGACTGGTTGGTTAGAAACCAGTTGTTATTTAAAAAAAAAAAAAGAGGAAAGAGAAAAGAAAATGAAGGGACTTCCCTAGTGGTGCAGTGGTTAAGAATCCACCTGCCAATGCAGGAGACACGGGTTCAAGCCCTGGTCCGGGAAGATGCTATATGCCGCAGAACAACTAAGCCTGTGTGCCACAACTACTGAGCCTGCGCTCTAGAGCCTGCGAGCCACAGCTACTGCAGCCCACGTGCCTAGAGCCTGTGCTCCATAACAAAGAGAAGCCACCTCAATGAGAAGCCTGAACACCGCAATGAGAAGCCTGAACACCGCAACAAAGAGTAGCCCCCGCTCGCCACAACTAGAGAAAGCCCGCGCACAGCAACGAAGACCCAACGCAGCCAATAAATAAATAAATAAACTTAAATAAATAAATAAAGTGCAAATCTGACTATATCCTTTAAAAAAAAAAGAAAGAAAATAAATAACTATATCACCTTCATAGCAGCTGGTAGTCATGCAAAGATGCAGGCCATCAGTGAGTAGATGGGACTCGCCCAAGAGTGCAAAGAGCACACACAGGAAGTATTTGGCTTCCTTCCTGAACAGGTTGATCAAGTTCCTTGGTGTCTCTGAGCTTTCTGTTAATTGTCTTAGGGATGGGTGAGATAAAAGAATGTAAAGTACCTGATAGGGTTTAGCATAGATTCAGGGCCCATGGGATTGATTGTATTTGTTTTGGTGAAAGTTCTTTGTAACCACAATTGTAGTTTGTTTTTACCCCTATATGGGATATATGCTTTACAGGAAAGATATCCCTCCAATGAGGGAGGGATATATGTTTTGCAATATATATATTTTCTACATTCATAAGCCATCAAAGAGAGTTGCTTTCTTCGTCATAATTGAGATTGCGGGGTATTTTCAGATTGTCATCCAAAAATAATCTGAAACTGAATCTGCAACCAAATTAAACTGTTCTGATAAAAGGTGAGGAACACAGGCCTGAGGACAGCCTGAGGGCAAGGCTTCATCCAGCTGCTGGAGGGCACCTTGAACTGGCCTTAACCACTTGCTGCCCGTAAAGGGTCTTAATAGGCTGATACAGAGCTGTTGAGGAAACTTGATATGAAATGAGCACGGAATACCTGTTTCCATGGGAGTAGTAGATTTTACAAAAGAAGAACACCAGCATCAGCTTCAGCTTTAAGACCTTAAATGTGGTTCCAGGTTTACACACATTGGAGTTTTCTTATCTCATGATTGTTACGCATCAGTCTTTCTTTCCCTCTCAGGACCACCGCACAGTCTCAAGTATAGTGAAGTCAGAAAAACCTCCCTGGTTCTGCAGTGGAAGCCTCCGATCCACTCGGGACGGACTCCGGTCACTGGCTACTTTGTCGACATGAAGGAGGCCAGTGCCAAAGAGGACCAGTGGCGAGGACTCAATGAGGCGGCTCTGAAAAACACATACCTGAAGGTAAGAGGATGCTCACAGTTTGAGAAAATCTTTTTTTTTTTTTTTTTTTTTTAAAGAAAAACGGTTCTTCTAACGAAGTTAACTTTAAAGTCAGTGAGATAAAGCAGAGCATCTCAGCATTGGTCTGTGTCATGTGTTGGGATCCTGGTAGGATTCCACTTGGCAGTCGGTGAGGTTTTGGGGATGTTTCTGATACTTAAAACAATTTGCTTGTAATTTGACCCAAATCCCTTTGCCTGGCTTTAGGAAGTATCCTGCCTCCTTCTTCTGTCCCTCGTTGCCTCCACTTACCCACCTCACATTTTTGTTACTCACAGTCTTAAGATGTTACCATCTCCAAAAGGTGACTTTCTCATTCCTACCTCGAATTTTTTTGCGGGTGGTTTTTGATTTGAAGGTGTTATTTTCATAGAGTTCATACCTGTAAGCCTTTAACTGCTGATCCTTTTGAGTCGTGGTCGGCCTTACCTCCCCTGCCCGCTCACCCCTGTGCTCACGTGAACTCTCAGGGACCAGAGGAATGAGTTGCCTCAACTCTTGACCTTGTCCTCACCCTTCTCCATGTCACTGCCTTCCAGGTTCCTCTAGAGTGTTCCAACTGAACGAGTTTCTAACTCTATCTGCCAGAGACTGTTCTGCTCTAGCCACTGACTGTCTCACTAGTACCAAATAGAAATCTCAAAAAAATGCTTCACAGTGCATTCAATGTGCAGGCTTATCTGTTGGCAGAATATGCCGCCACCCAGGGCATGGACCTTGGAAGATTTTCAGAGTATACCTGGTTTAAGAGATTTCTCTTGTCAACCTGCCACTAAAGTCCATACCATTTGTCAGCCACTCTCTGGGGTTAGGGCAGCCACTCTCTGGGGTCCCTATAAAAAGATGTAAATGTACCCTCCAGGAGAGATGACCCTTAAACAATTACATCCAACATGCGATTAACTCAGCTTCCCACGTGCCAGTAAGCTCTCCAGCCCCTTACAAAACCATGAGGAGATAAGGAAGGTCACATTTTGTGGGAAAGAGAAAAGGTCAAGGAAAGTCTGGAGCCTAGGGTGCTGTTTGGCTGTCCAGAGAAGTCAGGAGGCCTCTAGATACAAAGATATCCCCAAAGGCCAGTGTAAAACAAAGGTCAGACACATCCTAGATGATGGTGGTGTGTGCTTATGGCCAGCATGACTTGCAAATCCTCCATCTGCCATAGCACAGGATCCCAGGAGCCCGACTCACGGGAAACCAAGTGAGAGTGAGAAGCCAAGCAAAGGGGACCAAGAGCCCAGGAAAAATGAGTAGGAAGAGAAAATAATGGAGTTTAAACACATCAAAGAATGGTTAATGTCACTCATTTTTTTAAAAAAGAAGAAGAAGAAAGGCAAATTTAGGGGAAAGAGAGACTGAGTTTGAGTGCCCCTCACAAACCAGGAGACGAACTTTCTGTAAGGAAATGACCTTAGAGTTTGGCCACAATTTTTAAAGCAAAAATAGAATTACTGATTTTTCTGATTATAAAACAGATGCATGCTTATGATGACAAATTCAAGCAGTAAAGGCTTAAAGAAGAAAAGTAGAGATGTCCTATAGTCCCCATACCCATTTTGATGTGGAGTCACTTTTCCAGGTGTTTCATATTCAGAAAAGTTTCAGCCCTGAAATGGAGAAAACATTTGCATGTTAAAAAGTTTAATCTGTCAAATTTAAGTGAGGAAAGGACATATAGCTCCAGGAACAGGAGATGTTAGCACCATGGCACTGGAACATAATGGCCTAACCGGTTTCTGCCAGAAGCACCCCTATTCACGTTAGCACTGAGTGTCTAGGGGTTCCTAGAGAGTGAAAGATGCATTACTATCCACCAAAAGGTTTAACCAACAGAGCTCGTGCTTCCTTCTTGATTGGTAATTACAATCTGCTGAGACAATGTGGTGAGAGGGACTGAATAATTGGAAGGGGTGGGGGATATAGATTATGCATCTCTAGTGCTTTAAGCCAGCAGTCATTGCCCCTGCGGTGATGGAAGAGTGGAGGCGTGTGCCTGTCACCTCAGTGACTAGACACTGGGAAGTGGATTCACTTCCTGTGCTGTGTTGGCAGAAATCTGACTCACAGCTACATATTACCTAAGTGGCAGGTGCAGATGTGGCAGGTACCTGGCAACTGGTCTATTTTTATCACGACAAGGAAATGTTTCTGTTCCTTTCTGTAGATCCACAGTTGCCTGGCATTATTTCTAAATATAGAATTTAAATACATCAAACTCTTACGCATTTAGCCTGTGCCTAAATTCATTTATGGATTAAAATTCATTTCAAAAATCCATTAGCTCCAGTGAAAGCTATCACTATATAAGTAGTGACATTCTGTTACCATAAACACAATACAATTAAATAATTAGATTAAAAACCCAACAATTTAATACATAGCTCATCTAAATACATGGTCACAAACACTTCGCTTAGTTGAATAAGTATATTCTAGCTTTGTTTGATTTAAATCCCATTTTGGCTGTTAATCTCCATCACAACACTATGGGAAAAAATTGTGCCCTTTGTGTGTAATAAACTCCTTCTTAAAATACAATATAGCTTTTAAAAGTCACATGTTCTAAAAAGGAAAAGATAATTTTTGTAAAATATTGACAGTATTTGTAATACTAATGGGACTGTGCTGAACCCAAAGAAAGTCACAAAAAATTATGAAGTGGGACTCTTGTATAAAAACATATATTTTTTTACTTCTCTTATGCTCTTCTAACTCTAGCTTGGTGGCACACATGTAATGTAGGTCCTCAGCAAACATCTTGATGATTGAAAATGTGAGGATTTGGAATTTGAATATATTTGACTATTCACAAATTACTAAAATTCACAATCATGTTAATTGCTTGTCTATTTATTAAGATTTTATCGTTTTTAAATATTTATTTATGTATTTATTTTTGGTTGCGTTTGGTCTTCATTGGTGCGCGTGGGCTTTCTCTAGTTGCAGCGAGCGGGGGCTACTCTTCATTGCAGTGCGCAGGCTTCTCATTGTGGTGGCTTCTCTTGTTGCAGAGCACGGGCTCTAGGCACACGGGCTTCAGTAGTTGTGGCATGCAGGCTCAGTAGTTGTGGCTTGTGGGCTCCAGAGTGCAGGCTCAGTAGTTGTGGAGCATGGGCTCAGTTGCTCCGTGGCGTGTGGGATCCTCCCGGACCAGGGCTCAAACCCGCGTCCCCTGCATTAGCAGGTGGATTCGCAACCACTGTGCCACCAGGGAAGTCCCTGCTTGTCTGTTTAGTGAGAAATAGCTGTATTATATTTATAGGGACAATTTTTGTTTGTTTTTGTTCTAGTGCTTTAACATGCTTTTAAACGGAAAGTGATCCATGATCTGTGATCCACGCTTGTAATTCCCCTCTCTTGTCAGAAATTTTATCTGAAATTATTCATGGAATGTCTCAAAAGGATCAGGAAAAAAAGGGCAGCATATAAGCTCTTCTGAGCACTTTGTAATTTGTCTTTTGACCAAAGAATAAGGTGGCTAACTCCTTTAAAGCATACCTGTATCAGTCTTCTTTTCTGATGCTGGTGGCCATTAAATTTTCTAAAAAAGAAACAGCATCTGAGTTTCAAGGGATCTTGGAAATCTCTACTTACACATGGTCCAGAGAGAAGAAAGTCTTAGCTGAAGCCACACACAGTCTTTGACAGAATGAAGTTCAGAACCCAAGTCCTGTGCCCTTTGTGCTGTATAATTGAATCACCACCACAGAGGAAGGGCACTTCTGTTCAAATGACAGAAAGCACCCATCACTTCTATACCTGCTTCTTCCAGGTGCAAGGCCTCAAAGAGGGTGTCAGCTATGTGTTCCGAGTCCGAGCTGTAAACCAGGCAGGTGTCGGGAAGCCGTCTGACCTTGCTGGGCCTGTTGTGGCAGAAACCCGTCCAGGTAGGCTTTTACTTTTTCGTTAATCTCATCTGTGTAATATACCAAAGTAACATTCAACCTTACTTCTATGCTTTTCATCATTTTCAAAATCATCACTGTATGCTAGCCGAATGATTGATAAGAATGAGCGTAGGACATGACAATCATTTACCCCATGACAGGACCTTAGGGCAGGGGTGAGCCACGTTTGTAGTGGTCCAGGGCTACTCTGGTTCATACTTAAAAACAGGGAAGTTCTTGATCAAATTATGCTTCCTGGACCAACTATTTAAAGCATACATTCCTGGTTCGTTATTCCTATTATACTATGGCCATTAATTCCCACAAGAATATTTTCCCATCACAGAGGAAGCTGGAACAGCCCAGGTAGCAAGCATGATCCTTAAACAAAAGTAGGATTTATATAATTGTAGCTACTAAATTAAACCAGGGGACAGAAAACTTTTTCTGTGAAGGGCCAGATAGTAAATATTTTCAACTCTATGGTTATATGGTCCCTGTAACAATCCTCAACTCTGCTGTGGCACAAAAGCAGCCACAGACAATACATAAATTAGTGAGCATGGCTATGTGCAATAAAACTTTATTGTGCTTGATATATGCATTATGTAATATGATATATTACATGCATTATGAAATTTGAATTATAACTAGTTTTCAGTTCTTGAAATATTAATCTTTTTATTTTTTTTTTATTATTATTATTTTTTTTGCGGTACACTGGCCTCTCACTGCTGTGGCCTCTCCCGCTGCGGAGCACAGGCTCTGGACGCGCAAGCTCAGCGGCCATGGCTCACGGGCTCAGCCGCTCCGCGGCATGTGGGATCTTCCCGCACCGGGGCACGAACCCATGTCCCCTGCATCGGCAGGCGGACTCTCAACCACTGCGCCACCAGGGAAGCCCTCTTCTTTTTATTTTTAAAAGCTGTTTAAAAACGTAAAAACCATTCTTAGCTTGCAGGCTGTACGGAAAGAGGCAGTGGGCCAGATTTAGCCCACAAGCCATAGTTTGCTGACCCCTGGATTAAACTAACAGCGGTCCTAATTGAATGATCTATAGAGTTGAGGCAGCCTCACTTCCCAGTTTCAAGATGCCATGATTGGACTAGGAAAGACAGTCTTTCCCTTTGTTATGTGAACGAAGTTTATAGTGTTCACTGTGCAAGTAGTTTCAGATCATTATATAATACTTATTTTGTCATTTAATCTCCTTTTCCAAGTTATAAATTTCAGTTCATTAAAGTTACATGAAAGAAATCACTGGAAATGAAAGAGGATAAAAAGTATTAACCAGTTATTTTTTTATTTTTTTTTTTAAGTTTCTTTCATTGATTTAAACTTATTTGTTTATTTCTTTGGCTGTGTTGGGTCTTCGTTTCTGTGCGAGGGCTTTCTCTAGTTGCGGCGAGCAGGGGCCACTCTTCATCGCGGTGCGCGGGCCTCTCACTGTCGCGGCCTCTCTTGTTGCGGAGCACAGGCTCCAGACGCGCAGGCTCAGTAGCTGTGGCTCACGGGCCCAGTTGCTCCGCGGCATGTGGGATCCTCCCAGACCAGGGCTCGAACCCGCGTCCCCTGCACTGGCAGGCAGACTCTCAACCACCGCGCCACCAGGGAAGCCCCCTTAACCAGTTATTTTAAGTTTATATTCATTCTAGTCCAAGCACTCTCACTTTAATCCATTCCTATTTTCAGACTGAAATAAAGAGCAGATATATAATGTAATATTTGTTTTTAGGATGAGAAAAGAATGTAAACATAGAAAACTGCTCTCACTTCATAATGCTTGAAAAGAATATCTAATGTATCCTGTGAGGAAGTGCCTGCCCCTTTCACCCTATTACTTCATAAACTGCTTTCATCTACTCCTGTAACTACCCTCTAGCACCGGCTACGACAGAAGTGACCTTCTTGTACCAAAGTGTGGTAGGTGTGTCTGGACAGAGTACCATACCTCATATAAGTACTGTTTGCAAAACTTCATGAGAAAATAGAAAAATGCTAGGAACCCAAATGCCAGGTAAAAGGTGACACACGAAGACATGAGGACACACATTCCTATAGAAATCAGACCTTCCAGGTGCCAACTGTGCAGATATATAGGGTGCCAATAGACATGCAGAAGAGCCTGCCCTTGTAAGAACATTTAGATTATTACACAAATAAACTATCTAGTCATTGATAGGTTAAAAGCACCCTTTAAGCAGGGGAGCCCAAATCTGATTGACTAAAGAAAGCTTAAATTGATTTCCTGTTTTCTCATCAATAACCCTTGGAATGGCAGGTGGCCAGTCAGGGTGTTAGTAAAGCCACCACGGTGGAAACTTTACCATCAGAAAGGAGTCTGCTGGTGAGCTCAGGGGGAGAGTTTTGTTTCACTGGTTTGGAACAAGGCACCCAAAGTCATTCTGTGGCCATTCCATTCCCAGAATATAACTACAAACAGCAGCTGCAGACTAAACAGCGGCAGATTAACCCGCTCAGGAACCACTGGCTCAAGCCTAGGAAAAAATCCTGGGAGGCACAGAGTCAAGATGCTTGACTTGAAGCATCGCCATGAAGGAGCCCAAACCCAGGACACTGAGGCTGGTTCCATATGCAACAGACACATTCATTCCTGCACTATATGTTTCCTGAACACCTGCTTCATGCCAGGTGCTGTGTGGGCACCACAAGTAGAGTAATGTGACATTGTCGCCGCCCACTGGGCTTATGAGCTAGTGGAAAAACAGTTTACAGCACGGCATGATGAGAGCTTAGAGGTTCACAAAATATTTCCCATAGATGAATAGGCTATAAACAGGCTATAAAATAGGCTTCAAAAATCCCTGTAAAAACTTGTATGTAGCCTAAGGTTGTCTGTATTTATTAACTTTATTAAATACCAATATATTACTTTTAACCATGTATTTATTTTATGCTAAAATGTTTGGGGCCAGGGTTGGGGGGGATGGGATCTGTTATCAGTTTCAAGGTTTGGAACGTGAAACTTGGATTGCTATTTCAGAAGAACAACTCCTTTTGGAACACATTACTAAAATTTCAGATGGAGAATAAAGCTTATCATGTAACAGCAAACCTCAAATACACCTAACAAGATACCTCAAGTGCAGTTTGAATTCCAGTTAAAAGTTAACCTAATCCACTGGGGTTGGTAGGGTGACTGGTCTCCCTTTGAAGTTGATGAAAATGCCAGCAGATGTAGCTCAGCCACTACTGCAAAGTCTGATCGTGCTGGTAATGAGGATCAAAATGGACTAAGTGTGCTGTGCCTTACCAAGAAATCTAGTAGCTAAACAAGCCTGTAAGAAGAATAAGCTGGAAAATATTTAGAGTAGATTTGTTGGTACATGAGAGGCACTTCTAGTCTTGATAGTTGATATTTTTCAAACAGTATCTATGTTGATTGTATCAGGTCTGGGCTGTAGGTGGAGACAAAGTGAACCAGATCAGACGGGAGGCAAGAGAGAGACCTGCCAAGGTGTGGCAGGTGATCTGGAGGGCAACAAATAACTGGCAGAACAGGCTGCAGGTGTTCTTACCAGAGACCCAGCAGCAGGCAGGAGAACTGAGGTGAGGGGCAGGAGAACCCAAACCCAGGCAGAGTCCCGGGCAGGAACTGAGTTATTGGAAGTTAGGACTTCTCACCAAGAGCAAGGCAGGTTAGAAGAACGGAGCTCCAGAAGGAATAATGAGCTGGGATTGAGCTGACAACCTACTAACCAATCCCAGTTTCTGAAAATTGATAGGTTATAGAACCTGGTAGGGCTGAGAATGCTCAGTGGCCTTGAGGTGGAGCTTTGAAGGATTCTGAAGCAGGAAGCCAGGCTGACTATTAAAGATTAGCTCAACTGGCTAATTTAGAAAACTTCACTTATATTTGCTCACTATCTGCTCTCTTTCACCCATTAGCAAAGTAGTTTTCAACTTTGACAGTACATTGCATTAGAATCGTGCAGGAACTTTTTGAAAATTCTGACTCCATTCTAGACTACTCCAGATCAATTAAATCAGAGTCTCCAGGACTGAGCCTGGGCATAGGTTCATTTTTGTTTGTTTGTTTAACTCCTTGGGTAATTCAAGTATGAAATTCAAGGTTTATGAACTGTGCATTAGATTGTGGGCTCCTTCAAAATAGGAACTTTTTTTCCTCTATATATGTCGATAGCCTAGTACCTGGTGTATAGATGAAAAAAATAATGAATGTCTACCATGTTTTGGCGAGAGAGTGTGACTCTGTTTTGCAGCCACAGCGTGTAAACCTAACCCTAGTATCTCGTAATGAACGCCCTGGTTATGAAGGGTGAGTTGGGAGAGGTCCAGTGGAGGCCCTGATGTAGCACCAGGACCGCTGGTGGGTCAGCCAGCGGTCCTGTCTTCCACATAGGGGACCTCAGCGTTACACGCAGCCGATTACATTTGTTCACTTCTGTCTGCTTCTGTTCTGTCCCACTCTCCAGTTTTTTTAAACACCACACACACACACACGCACACACACTCACGCACACACACTCACGCACACCATGGAGAAGGACAAAGAATCAAACTTATAAAAGAGTCCTATTAATGAAGATATAAAAGACTATATGAGAAAATTCTCACATCAGATTATGAAATGTGTGGGAAGATGAATTCCCACTTTTAAATTTTATCTCTTTATAAAATCATCGTTTGCTGGAGTTTTATTATTTTGGGCTGGAGTTAATTTCCAAAAAGTTCATTTTAGCCCTGGGCCGTACTTTAACCCATTCACTCACGGGGGGGGGGGGGGGGGGGGGGGGGCTCCTGGAGGGGGGGGGGGGGGGGGGGGTAGTGGCAAGCCTGGAGGGACTATTAAAATGCCATTGCACGCAATCCAGTATTCCTCTGTGTCCTCATTAAGGATTTGTTTAGGGTTGCGGCAGCTGACTAGAGACAACTCTTCTTAATTCCTTTTCAGACCAGAATTATCTCCTTCATTTTCTATAGCCAAATCTCCTCTGCTCTTAACTGAATTCTTCATATTCTTGAAAAGATTCAGAGGTTGTTTTTGAGAAAAATCTAAGTCCTGACAAACTTTCCCAGCTCAACTCTGCGGGAAAGTGAGATGGCCTTTCATCTAGATGAGAATATCCATAGGGATTCCATTACTTTGACAGCAGAACATCAAACTTGCTGCCTGCCTGTTAAATATCGGAACCATTCTGCTCATGTTTTAGTCAAGTTTAGTGAATGTGTCTCTTTAGACATTTATGAGTTCAACCATGGATTGACAGCAGCTCAGTGCTTGGCAAAAACTCAGGCCGTGGGACATTCTAAAAAGAAAATTTGAGGGTGTTGTAGCTGCACCTCTTTCACTCTGACGCTGCACCAGGTTAATCTCCACAGGTGTAGTTGTGGACTAGCCTGGGGCCTCTTAGAAATGCTGTCATTACATTGCTCTTGGTGTTCCTAGAGCACTTATAAAAAGAATCATCCATTTCAATGTCATGTATCTTTTGTAAAATCTCACTAGAATTTTTTGCGCATGATGTATCCAGGATCCCTTCATTTAAGGAACGCCACTATTAATTACTCTTAGATTTTAATGTGTGGAAAAAATGTCCTTTCCAGATTAACATAATTACCTTCTTTATTACACAAAGAGGAATCTATGAATCTATGTATTTTCCAAAAATGACTTCCTCTATATATAAACCCAGAATGCAGGAAGAGTCTACCTTTTTTCCAAGGCAACTTCAATTCCATTTCCCATTATAGGTATTATTATAAAATACTTGGTCTACTAAGTCACTCTCTAAAAGCACTTTTATTCAAAGAACTATGTTAACCAATTAATTAAAGCTGAACAGTAACAGAAGGCTTTGAATTTCAAAAGCCATGTTGAAAGAGTATGAGAGCATTAGCATTGTAATTCATGTGACAAATAGGGAACAAGCTATAACTTGTTGCCATAATCATTTTAAGACAATAACCTTGCTTTATATTTATACAGTTGAAACTGTGTTCTTTCTTTGTAATAGTAAGTTATTTTGACTAAACATTATTTTCTAAAGAGAATTTTTGTGGAGTGTAAGAAATATGCCTAGAAAACTAGTATTTCAATTATTTTCAGTAAATTTTACTTTTCAAAATCTTGTGATTATGATCACTTTCAGAGTGACACTTTCAGCCAGTTGACAGCATCACTGTTTGTCAGGAAAGAGATCAAGCTTTAAATTCTGAGCATAAGTAGGAAACCCACTGCGACTAGAATATTTTCTTTGTTGTTTTTTTTTTTATCTTGTCTGTTTATCAAAATATTGGTGTTATGCTTAAGCTTTAATAAGACTAGTTCCAATAAAATAAACATTGCAGTTCTAAACTGACATTTCTCATTTAAATCTGTTTTTTCAGTCCAGTGCCTGGCATATGTAAATATGTATGGAAAATATGAAAGACAAAAGCCCTGCCCTTGTAGAATTTAACCCTGTTCTTGATAAAATAAACAACCAGTGCAACTTTCTGAAAACTGAAAATTAATCAAATACTCATCTTAATGAGTATTTGATTTTTAAAACAGAAGTATGGAAGAGAGTTTTAATTTTTTTCCCTTTATTTAAATAAATCAACAAATAGCACCCATCATAGCCACAATTATGTGAGCATAAATTGAGGAAATGTTCATGCCTCTCTTTTATCCACTACAGGTATTGTCTACCATGTCCTGATTTGATATGATTAATCAAGAAAAGCTGCACAGATGAGCACACTCAGATACTAGTTGACTTTACATCTAATCCCTACTTTTTATTTTGCCCCTCCAGGCAACTACTTAATTTCAAATCACAAATTTTGATCTAAGACTTTCAAAAAATACCATGTTGTTTTCTAAAAGTATAAATTATTACATTTTTTTTACATTAGAACCCAGCTACAAAGTAATGATGTAAAACTCATAGGTTAAAGTGGAAACACACATATTGCCTGGGACTTAAAAATAACATCTTTTGTTTCATTTCATACTGTCACAAAAGATCTCCAAGTACTTGACAAAAATTAATTGCCCAGAATAATTCAGTGAGGCAGCTCTATATCCTTCTCTTAATAGCTGAGGCAATTGAGACAGCAACTAAGCAGGGTTTTTCTATTCTCTAAGTTGCATGGGTTTGGGACCAAATCTGGTCATTCAGAAACCTGAAAAAGGTATTGTTTTAAATACCCAGTAGTTCCATTTACCTGGGAATTTACTGCTAGAGCATCAATTATTTAAAATTTCATTCTAAGACTCTTTGATGAAAATTCTCGTAAAATAGATTACACATTTCAGTACCTACCTTTCATACTTCTTGGATGCAATATACTTAATCTCATTTACCTTTTTCTGAATGACTCAGAGCCATAAGTATCCACCTTATTTATTGCCCAGTGTTACAATATAGTGAAGTCTTATGGGGTGAGGAGCTGTTTGTCCCTCTACTAAATAATGTCTTTGTGCCTGCTTTTTAGTTTTCTGCTTCCTCTCCTGCTGTCATTTTCCTGATGATAGTAGCTTCTTACTTTCCTCTCTTTTTTGGGTTCAATCTACTGAGAGAAACTGACCAACTAAGCTTGTTAGAATCATCTCAAGCTAAGTAGAGATTCCAAGTGATGGTCTATGGAATTCACCAGTGAGTGTTCAAGAATGCTAGTGCATGGACTTTGTCACATCAGCACTGGCTCTTAGAGACTTGTTTTCATTACTTCTTGGTCTTGGGCAAGATTCCAAATGAGTGAAGTGTTACGGTACAAAGGTTATCCATGTAATTGAGAGAAAAGCCAGCTAATTATATTGTTCATATGCTTTCCGTTTTATGACTCCTTTGTAGAAAAGTCAAATCTTTCACTTTAATAAAAATCAAGACTCTTAAGCTAAGCAATATTTTTTTCTGCTGTAAACTTAAGTCATACCTCCAACATAATAAACAGCAGGCATATGGATGATTCACTTCCTTTTTAAAGAGATTACAAATAAACCAATGAATGATTAATATGAACAATCTGTCATGCCTCCAAAATAGATATTATGTAAATAGCAAGAAAGGTTTAGTCAACTTCATTACTTCTCCTTTCCTCTTTATAACAATACAGATATTCAGAAAATTTTCCATTTATACTCTCTGTGATTCAGTTATGCTAACTGTGTATTATAATACCATCTAAACCTCAGCATTCTTAGGTGTCAGTCTTTTCTTAAATAACTTGTTCGTTATTTGTTATACAACAATGTTATACATTAATCCTAATGTAAGGATTAGTCATGTGTTACTGGGAATAGAAATAAAACATGGTCTGTGACTTCCAATGGAGTAGACACAGCCCTTAAAAGTAATACACGGGGGACATTTCACTTAGGAAAAATTAAATCTTTAATTGATCTTTATTTCTGTTTATCTATATAGCCAAATGTGAAAATAACCCTTTATTTTTTAAAAAGTAATTTTTAAAAAATCTCCTAGAATTAGTCTTCTCTAAGTTTTCTATGTGTTAAAAATCACTTTTTGGAGGTTTATAGTTGAAGCACACACTACTATCAATAAGGACACAAATTAGACCAACTGCCAGGCTTAGGAACCAACATCCTAATGTCACCAATCACTCTTTAGGTACTCGTTTTGTTTTGCCCTTCTCCTGGGAGGAGTCTTGCAATTGTTTTCCCCCTGACAAGTTTTATTGAATGATGCAATCTAGAAGAGAAAATCTTTCATCACTTGGGAAGTATCTACTGAAAGATTTTTTTTATACTTTTAAAAAAATAAAGCTATACCTTTCTGAAATTAAATATATTTTTCCTAATGTATGGAAACAAACTAAGTGTAGACTGGTAATTGAATGAATGGCAATTTGAGAAGAGCATTTTACCTTTTAAATTGGATTTAGGCAGAGATGTGAACATTTTTTATGCTATACACACTCTGAATTGCTATATTGAATGCAGATTTGTAATTTATTATAACCCTCAAAAAAAACCCCTCAAAACATTAACTTATTGTTTTCTTTTAAAATCCAAAAACTAATCTTGAAACATTTGAATCTCTTGAAATTCATTTCCATAAAGTTCAATAATAATCATTTCTAGGTTTCTATTGTTCTAATTTAGAATGGCATCTTTAGATTAATTTATGATTATCTGATCAGCAGAACTTGTTTCCATGGAGCTTTTTTTCATTCTTAAATGATTTACAAACTTTGAACATGTGAATATAGGCAGTTCTTATTACCTCTCCTTTCTCCCCTTCAATTTCCCTTTGGTTTCTTTATCTCTTATCTATCCTTTCTTGATGACTAGTTAGATATGGGTAATATTGAAGCAAAAGTCATGAATTAGGCCCTAATAAGGACCATTCAACTTTCCTTTCTCCCAAGACTGCCTTGTCCTTCTTATTATGGTCAACATACTCCAGTAACTGTCCCAAGGGTCACGTCAACCAATTTTCTTCAGCCCTGAACAAACAGTACTGTCCATGGTATTAGCACTACCTAAGAAACATGGTACATTCATTTAATTCTGTCACAACACAAAAGTTGAATTGTAGCAGGATTGTCAGTTGCAGCGAGCAGTTGGGGCTTTTTGCTTTCACAGGCTCAAGGCCCTGCTTTAAGGCTACAGTAAAGGATCCCAAGGTAAGGAATTCTTACGTGATTGACTTCTACCAGGAACTATCAGTGCCTTGTTTTTGATCTTCTAGGAACCAAAGAAGTTGTTGTAAATGTGGATGATGATGGAGTCATTTCCTTGAACTTCGAATGTGATCAGATGGCTCCAAATTCTGAGTTCACCTGGTCCAAAGATTATGTCCCCACGGAGGAGTCTCCACGATTAGAGGTTGAAAGCAAAGGCAACAAGTACGCACCATTTCAATCCTAACTATGGGTCTCCTTTTCATGAAAGGAGGATGAAGCACCCTTTCCATTTCAAATAAGAGAATGAAATCACAAATATTTTATAACTGGAAATGTAAAAAGTGATAACCACTATAAACCTTAAAAAATAACAATCCTTATAAAATACTTTTCACATTAGTCCATTTAAAGTATTTTCTCATATGTATCTCACTGTCAACTGAAAAAAAAAAAAAGCACAACGTGAGAGTTATGACCTAAGTTTTATTTGGGGCAAAATGAGGACAATAGCCCAGGAGACAGCATCTCAGACAGCTCTGAGGAACTGCTCCGGAAAGGTAAGGAGGAAAGTCAGTATAGAAGTGATTTTGGTGAAGGGGGAAACGTGCAATCAAAGCACACATTTTGGCAGAAGCTTGCTGCTAGTCACAAGGAGCCGATGTCTCCATCAATGATTTTAGTGCTTTTCTAGATATGAGGAGATACAAGAAATTGGGCTCATAAAATCTTCTCCTGAAAAATACCTATCTGAAGGCGTGTTCTGCCAGTTTTTCCAGAGCACAGAGCGCCTCATTCCTGATCTCCACCCTGAACTCCTTTCAGGGTGTGTTGAAGGTCAGCGGCTGCAGTGGCTAATGACTTCATCCTTGTAGAAGCAGATGGCGAGCAGCAGTTTTTAGTTGGCATCGTTTATGATGTAAGAAAAGCTTTAATTGGCATAAAAGTGAACTTCGAAGATGATTCTCATTATTCTACAGAATTTTGAAATCTTAAGTAATGGTGAGGATGCTTATGGGGAGGGGTTAAGGAAGAACTTGCTGATTCAAGTTATAGTAAATTCAATGGATTGGGTATAATCTGTTCTGCTTTTTCACCACCACTTGTGAGTGACACAATACTGTACTGGAAAGAACTCTGTATGGGAAGCACAGGAGAGATGAGCGCTAGTCCCAGCTCTACCCGGAGCCGGCTGTGTGACCTAGGGCAGCTTTTAATTACAGGGACCTTGGATTTCTTTTTCTGTAAAATAGAAGAGAGTGAAGGAGATTAATTTTATGATCTGTTACTTCCTTTCAGCCTCAAGATTTCTTTTTATTTCACCTTACTTATCAAGCTTCATATCTGTATAGTGCCAACCAGATTGGATTATATTTAGTAAAGCAAAATATTCCTAAGTATTATTTCTATTACAAAAGCCCAATATAGCTCAAAAATAAAAGAAAGAAATAGTAATTCTGTTGGAAAACAGCAAGGAAATACTGAATATATTAATAATTAAAAGACATTCTGCTGTAACTATGCTGTAAGGTCCTTGAAGTGAAACATAATTTTGGTCAAAGGGAAGACAATCAAAGTATAAATTTTTTTCCCTTGATTAACCTATAAATGTTTGGGTGATCTTAGACCCTGACCAGCAATGAGACTCACCAAAGTTAGAAAACAAAGAGAACTAGACCACTGACCCATTCATTCATTCATTCCACAAGTATTTATTAGGCACATATTATGTGCTAGACAAGGTATGGAGGCCGGAGGACACAACAGTGAACAAAACAGATCTCGTCCCAAAAGGCATTCAGTGGAGGTATATAGTTAATGAACTAGGCAATACTGATGCCATGTGATAACCTCCAAAACAGGAAGTGCAGGGTAGACATAAGAGAGGCATCAGGAGGTTCTGCCCTGTGAAGAAAAATTTCAGGCTGCCCAGCAAGGGTTGATCAGCTAAAAATATCTTTATTTGGGTAGCTTGGGGATGGGAGATTTGTACCAGCTCCCCCTCCCGTCACCATCAGCCCATAGGAGGAGGTCAGGAAAGTCTTCCCAGAAGCAGCAAGAATGAGTGGGCTGTAGGTCAGCAAGGGGGACAGAACTAGTGCTCCACGTGAAGGGAGCGGACGTGCAAATGCCTAGAGACCGGCAGGGTGCAGGCCCTCAGACCGCACACGGCCTCTCTTCTTATAAAATTATTCTGTTCTGAAGGACGAAAATGACCTTCAAAGACCTCGGGATGGAAGACTTGGGCATCTACTCCTGCGATGTAACAGACACTGATGGAATAGCGTCAAGCTACTTGATAGATGAGGAAGGTAAGTGAAGAATCAGTTCATTCACGAGTCTGCTTTGATTTCTCAGTGATTCTCAAGGATCAAGTGACTTTTGTTTTAGTAGTTCAAGCTCTAATTGTTCTCTTTTTCTCCCTACAGAATTGAAACGTTTACTTGCTCTCAGCCAAGAACACAAGTTTCCAAGTAAGTGTCCACAATACATTCACAGAGTTTAGCCATCCCACTACACACTTCTGACAGGATCAAGAGAAGAGGCTCTTGAGAACATATAATGGAGCATATATTGGTAGCTGCAGATGCACTTTCCGAAGGGCTGCCTTTATCTTTGTCATTGTTCTCCAGAGATACAAAGAACACTAACATAGAAGATACATCCCATGCTCTGTTACATAGAGCATTATCGGGTTACATAGGTGTAACAGCTGACCAATTACATTCTTCACCTTTTGCCTACATATTTTGGAACTTTATACACACACACACACACACACACACACACACACACACACGCACGCACATCTCCTGGATACATTAATTTGTATGTCTTTTAGGCGAACTGATCTCTTCCTAAGCAATTTAATGTTAACATTTAATAGAAGAACCATACCTCTAAATAAAGACAGTACCTAACATTTTAAACTCCTGGAAAATAAGGTAAAGATGTCTTGATCAGAAAAAGAATCCCTATGAGCTATCTAAAAACCCTTCAATGAAGCACCTTCTACATAAAAGATTAAATTCCAGAGTTGACAACTAAGAGAAGAGAAAGAAGTCTGAAACGATACTCAGAAAGTTCCACTGGCCTGATAGGATCTCTTGCCCATTGGTACCCACTGGCCAAAGCAGTGAAGCATCCAGAAAGTTACACCTTAGAGTTTGAAAAAACAAAGAGTGACAGCATCACTCATTCTTTTAAATCAGGAATTTTTTTCATTCCTTAATCCCTAAAACATAACTTCTTCACTACTACAGGAGTTTCAGGAACCCAGGGAACTACACCCTGACCCCAAACTATAGGCAAAACGTTGTGTGTTTGTAGATGTGCATTTTTCTAGGGTGAAGGTCTACAGCTTTCCTGAAATTCTCAGCAGAGCTGTGATTAAAAAATAAACACTGCTTAAAACTAGTTGTCTGACCTCTCTCACATTCCCAAGGAATGCATGTTTGATGGTGAGGCTGGGTGTTGGTGACTATTGGCCTCAGCTGGAATGTTCTCAAAACCAGCTTTATTCAACAAAGCACAGTGGGGTGCCTGTGGAGTGTGGATGCAGAAAGCAGGCTTTCTGAATTCTAGGGGAGAACCGTTTCTCGTCTGTAAGCTTATTCACCATCAAACTGGAAAAGTTACACCAAGAATAGTATCTTAAAAGTTATTCTTTTTAAAATTGTATGGAAGGCAGAGGTTTGGCCTGGACTCTCTTTGTTCTGTACTCTGTGAACCTGAGCACCTCATCCCAATTTCCCCATTGCCTGGTTTCTTTTCCAGGAACGGCTGTTGTGATTTTTCATAGCACCCACGACATAGAGGGGCTGTGAGAGACAATCAACAGGTCGTTGGTTAGTCCTGAACTCTTCAGGGAAAATATAAATGTTAATTGAAACAGAAGAGTGACCTAGAAAAACCCACTCGCGGAAGAGCTGTCTGCCAGTCACACTGATGTCCTCCCTTCACGCTCCCGGGGCATGAAGAGGGGAGTGGAGGAGAGGGCCACCGTGCCGGGCACAGCCGGAGCCTGTGAATGCGCGCGCTGTCCACAGCGTGAAGCACAAACAGCAGCACCTACTAATCTAATCTAGTTAGTCAGACAGTAAGCACTGACAAAGTGTCTAGGCAACAGCTGGTCCAAACACATTTACATTTAGCTTAAAGGATGGAGATGAGAGAACTTGGGCTGTTACTGTTGAATTGGAGGTGCCCAGCCTCCCTGAAGTTCAACGACCATATGGACTTGCCAGTAGTAATTGCCTGCTGTCACTGTCATTTATGCTGAGATATTTTATTCTGCATGAGCATAATCACTTTAGTTGTTGGTTCTAGGAGAAGGGGTAGCAGCAAACTCAGGTACCCTACTATTAGAGATCAGGTGTGGCATTTGGGTCAGCACAGAGAGAACCCAAAAATGTGTTAAAAACTCTGATGTGCAGGTATGACTCTCCCAACTGGAGGTAGCTCTCGTGAACCCGTTGAAGCAATGTTTAAAGCATCACAGCTCCAGTACTTCTCTCTCCCCAACCACTGTTGGATCAGCCAGGTCACTGCATGAATATTTGCAGAGATCTGATGATAGGGTCAAAGCAGCATATCCAATTTCTCAATTTATACCCACTTCCTTTTAGTATATGTTGACACATAAGCCATTTTCTTGAGATTTTTGTAAGGTCTTAACTGGTCTCGTCTCTTACAGAGTATAATAAAGAGTGTGCTGTTCCTTTATCCCTTGGCACAGTAAATTCTCCTGTTTGAAGCTGTTTTCAAAAATATTTTGAAAACCACTAAACATATGCCTTAAACCTACAAATACCAGATATTTTGCTGGAGCAAATTAACTGCCAGAGAAAAGAGCCTAAGGAAATTTAGGGCTGAGCAGAAGGAAAAAATAAAAATATATAAAGCTAAAAATAGAAAATAACCTAGTCTATGTTGCCAGTAGTGATAGTAAATTGCAGTGTAAAGAGGCAGTTTATTTGAATATATATGTCTGTCTGTGTGTGTGTGTGTGTGTACATCTAAAATTCAAGGTATATGGGGGGGATGGTGGGAGATATACTTCAGTATCAACAACACCCTGCAGGCCTCTCGCCTTTTGAGATGGACCACATTCTGTCTACGGAATGTGTATCTCTCTAAATAAATACACTTCTCACCTAAAAAAAAACAGAAACAAAAACATCCTGCATAATATATCTTTTTATTTGTAGACATTGGTTATTATCCCACTTGTATATATTATACTCTATGAGTACAGACATACACAAGCACATATACATAAATTATATCTATCTGGTATGTCCTCTTAGGTGTAAATATAACATACAATTGGTGTTTGTAGGGTGTTGTTTAAACAACTGAAGGAAGAGTCACCAAAATATTAATTTATTATATGCTGTTTATAGGGTGCTGAAACAGAATGTCATCAAACTCCACAATGACCTTAAAAGGGTCACTACTGTGGTGATTTAATTTGAGAGATGAAGAAAGTGAGGCACAGAGAGGTTAAGTAATTAGACCAGATGTACACAGCTGGTACCTGGGCATAGCCCAGGTGGTCTGACACTAACCAGGACATGGGCTGTTTCTATGTGTGCATCCTGGTGGCCAGTGCTCCCCAGACAATGGCCCCATTACTCAGGGAGGACCGTGAACATTAAGGGATCTGGAGGCTTCCAGGAGAGCGTGGGAGTGTGTCCCCTCCCCACTGCCGCCACACTGAGCTTCTTAGTAACTGCATCACTCATGTATTGGATTCCCTAGAGTGAGATTTCCAGATGTTTCTGGAAGAGATCCTACTCTCTATTCCCCTCAAGACTTAACTTGTAGCAAGCAGGAGCATCCTGTAGGGAGAAAACTCAGCCTCTGCTCTCACCGCCCTGGGGTCTGTTGCTGATCTGCTCTTACTGGAAAACCACTAGTGTTCTTCAGAGTGGATGGCCAGGACCATAAGAGCACAGAATAGAGGGAACAACCCTGGTCTCAGCTCTGCTACCCAGATATGTTACTAAGCTTTCCTGAGGCTGAGTTTTGTCATCAATAAAATCAGGAGAGAAAGAGAACTCCTTTCTCGGGCAGCGGTCATTATTCACAGTGGCTCAGTGTATTCTGGTACCATATTCACTCTTGGTGGCCTTGTGAGGCAGATAATATCCATCTTAGCAGGTGAGGAGCACAAGGTTTTAGGGGTAGATAACTGTCCTTGATCAAGGTGTGGCCCTTCTCTGTTCACAGGGGACACCCTCAGTAGGTGATGTCTGAGCCTCCTTTCAGCTCTGCATGGAATGACTCTATAACTGAGTTTCACAATGAATATGGAATAGTGCAAAGGAAAGGCATCCCTTGAAGTTTGAAAAGGGTAGTTTTAGGATAAATACAAAAAGCATTAATGTACATTTCATACAAGTTTATACCAAGCTTATAATTAAAGCTTATAATTTAAAATGTAGCATAACTAAAATTTTGAGATATATTTAAGAATAGTTGAGAGAAAGCAAAGGGTGATTTCCCCTAACAGAAGTGAAGGACTACAGAACTTTGAGAAAAAACCATCTTGTTCCACAAAGGATGCCCAGGAGCCACCTCTGATACAGATCTGTTGGCTTGGAGGAGCCTTTGTAGAGAACATTTTCAAGTTACAAGAAATTTAGAAAAAGGCTTTGAGAGATGTCAGCCAACTTTTAAAAAATTTCACTCATGTTCAAATGGCTTAAGCGATACAGGTGTAAATCAGAGATATCACACGGTTCCTTACTTTCTATGTGAAGCAAGCCATGCTATATTTTAATATAGCTTCTTGATAATGACTTGCTTATTTGCATCTGAAAAATTTTGCTTGATCTAAGAACTTAAATGAACTGGTATACCATTGGGATGGATAGGGTTTAAATGACAAGCTGGTTCATCTTATATATGTAGTCAAAATTAATTCTTTCTTAAGATTCTTTTTTTTTTTTTTTTTTTTTTGCGGTACGTGGGCCTCTCACTGTTGTGGCCTCTCCCGTCGCGGAGCACAGGCTCCAGACGCGCAGGCTCAGCGGCCATGGCTCACGGGCCCAGCAGCTCCGCGGCATGTGGGATCTTCCCCGACTGGGTCAGGAACCCGTGTTCCCTGCATCGGCAGGCGGACTCTCAACCACTGCGCCACCAGGGAAGCCCTTAAGATTGATTTTTAAAAACATTTTTAAAAACCTCCAAAGTGAGTTAAATTGTTGAAAAAAAATCAAATTGAACTCTTTTTCAAAATATTTTGAAGTAATTAAATCATAGAATGTTGGAGCAGGAAAATATCCTGGTCAATTAGGACATTCAGTTCAATTCCATCCATTTACTATGAGTCAAGTGAGGCCCAGAGATGCAAAGTGAACTGCCTCACATCACAGTTTGTTAGTAGCTGACCTTGAACTACTGGGGCCAGCTCAAGACTCTTTTCATCATACTTTGTTATTGTCCCTAAATAAAGCTAACCAAAGCCACAGTAGAGAGTCACAGAGGTTAGCTGAAGGACCCTGGGAGGTCAGTTCATCTTCCTCACTTTTATAGTTAAGACATCTATGACAGTCAGGATTAGAACACAGTTCTACTGTC